AAGTACCTATGTATAACTTTAGCTACTGGTGGTGATCATACTTGTTATATGCTCATAGTCTACCTTGTCTAAAGCTAATTTGGCCACTCCAGCTTTCTCTGGATTAGTGTTGGCATGGGATGTCTTACTACATTCTTTCCCTTTTCACCTAATTGTGTCCTTGCATTTAAAGTGTATTTCTTGGAGATAGCATAGAGCTGCTTCTTGGTCTTTTTTTCCAATCTGATCTGTTCTGTAATTAAATGCTGATCTTTTATATATAATATGATTATTTATGTAGTTGGGTATAAATCTGTTACCTTACTATTTGGGTCTAACTTTTGCAGAGTGACTAGGTTTTTGTACTATATATTTTATTAAAAATTTTTATTTATTCATTTTTTTTGATAAGGGAAAGTGACAGCAAAAATGCCTAAAACAGCCTGGGCTGAGCCAGGCCAAAGCCTGGCACTGGTGACTCAATCCAGATCTCCCATGTGGGTGGCAGTGACTCAGTTACTTGAGCCATTACCACTGCCTGCCAATGTACACATTAGCAGGAAACTGGAACCAGGAGTGGAACTGGGACTCGAACCCAGACACTCTGGTTGGGGCAGCCCACCAAGCATCATAACCACTAGGCTAAGGGTCTGCCCTGGAGCTCTGCATTTAAAACCTTCTTTGGGGGTGGGTATTCGTCAGAGCAGTTAAGACGCTGCTTAGGAGGCATACTTCCAATTTCTGCCTGCCTGGATCTGAGTCCCTGCATGTCTGTGATGCAGCTACCTGTGAATCAGACCCTGGGAAGCAGCAGGAGATGGTTCAAGTGCTTGGTCTCTACCATTCACGTGGGAGACCCAGATGGAATTCCAGGCTCCTGACGCTGGCCTGACCCAGCCCTCACTGTGGATGGAAGTTATCTCTCTCTTCATCTCTCTTTCTCTATCTTTCAAACAAATAAAAATAAATACATTTAAAAACTTGTTTCTCCTTCACTGGCTATATACTTCCAGTATCTGGTGCTATAGTATATGTCAATATTGCATTACAGCGTCTGGTCTTGAACCTTTATGTCATTTCTGGGTGAGCCGGTGGACTGTTGAGGTTTTCTCTAAAACCATCCCTTCATCTATAGATGGAAGTGACTGTGAACCACATAAATGCTTCCTACTAAACCCCTACTCAGTATAGCCCCAACTCAACTTTCTTTAGCCAGATTTTCAGAATGGCTGGTATTTGATGGAATATTAGAAGGGAAGAATGTGACAGCCTTATCAATGCCTCTGTCCATTTCTGTAGCTATTACAGAATACCTGAGATTGGGAAATTTATAAAGATCAGAGATTCATTTTCTCATAGTTCTGAAGTCTGGGAAGTTCAAGGTCAAGTGCCGGTATCTGGCGGGGGCCTTCGTGCTATGTCCTCATGCATCAGAGCAGAGGGGAGAAACCCGCTCCCACAGCCCTTTTTTATAATGGCATTAATCCATTCACAAAGGCGGAACCCTGTGACCTAAATGCTTTCCCAAAGGCCTCACCTCTCAACGTCTCTGCTCTGGAGATCAAATTTCCAGTACGCGAATCTGGGGGCACTCATTCAGATCACAGCCTTAACTGAAGTTACCGTTTTCTCTATTTAAACATTTTTTAAAGAACAGTCTTGGTTTCACAGCAAAATTGCATGGAAGTTACAGTGATTACCTGAGCACACCCTGCCCGTATGCAAACATAGCCTCTCCCATTATTCACACCTCCCCACCAGAGTGCTACTCTTGCTGCAATTGATGAACCCATCATTACCACCGGGTCTCTGGTTTACCTTAGGGGTTACTCTTGGTGGTGCACAATCTATGGGTTTTTGTTGACAATTACCCACCATTGTAATCATTGTTTCACCACCCCCAAAATACTCCGTACTCTACCCATTCATCCTTTTCTCTCCCAGTCCCTGGCAACCACTGATGTTTTTGCTGCCTGGAGAGTTTTGCTCCCCACAAGCATACAACCAAGTTGCAGAAGTTGTAGGTTCCCTGTCTTTGACCTATGAGGCCTTAATTTGACCCACCTTTTGCTGGTATCTCCATCTCTGAGCTTGAAAATTTTCCTACGCAGAGAGACCTGTGGACAGCTGGCATTTGGAAAATGCCAGAGAATTAATTTAGTCTCCTTCATGGCCCTGCAGTCAGCAACCCATGACTGACCTCAGGTGCTATGTGACAACCAGCACGCTTCCCTCTCCATGGGGATCACTGATGCACAGAATTCCCCGACAGGATGAAGCTCCCGTGGCCCAGAGAAGTAGCTTCCTTTACTGTGTCTTCCCCATCTCACCTCTCCACTCACCTACTGGTGTTTCCTGGGATTGTCTCCTCAGTGAAGGACATGTTCTCAATCCTTCTCTGCTCCTGGGGGAACTGTAATTAAAATGCATGGCTGCGAATTGTTAGGATCACTCCCAGGGCAGAGGGCTGTGTGCATGAGGGGCCTTGAGGGACTTCCTTGTCTATTGCCTCTACTAGTTTGCTGCTCCAGGAAAGAGCTTGCAACCCACCTTGCAGCAATGTCTGGGGGCTGGAGCAGACAAGTAAAGTCAACAAGACGTGTTTCCATAGAGAAGGGCTGAGACACCTGGATCCTTTCCCCCTCTGCCAACCCTTGTTGAACTTTGTAGGTCATGGATAATGCCAAGAGGTGTATAGGAGAGTGCATAGCAGCTTTCCAATTGAGGTGGTGCCCAAGTCAGCAGGAGAGCCCACTGAGCTTCTTCCTCAGCCATCACTGTCCAAGGCCAGGGCCAAGAGTGTGGTAGGAAGTAACACCAGCAGGGAGACTGGGTGCTCAGGAGAGGGAGGCCAGTGCCCAAGGTCCTCTAGATGAGTATCTTTCAGTCAAAGGCCAGAGGAGTCAAAGCAGGACACCAATGAGATATTCCCTACTCCCCACCAGGCTGGGGCCATACTCACAGCTATACATCTTCCCCAAATATCTCTCTCTGGGGGAAAATGGAGGAGAGGGGGAGACTCCTATGAGAGTGCCTTTTATGCCAGATGGAAGTACCTTGAACTGGTGAGAGGACAGCATTGATCAGTAATGGAAATAAGAACTTGACAGCTACTACTACCAAGACTTTTGCAAGACTGTATATCCTGAGATGCCTCCCTAGTGACCAGTGAACACACTGTTTTTCCAGGAGCATTTGTCTTTGCATTTAGGCATTTTTATTTCTGTTGGGTAACTTCTGTGCAATGGTTTACCAAAGTTGTAGATTTTAACATATATTTATTTAATCCAAATGCCTGTTTAATTCCATTAGTCATTCGAAAAGTTTTCCAGTTGATTTATCTTGGGTAATCTAAGCATATAATCATATCATCTGCCAGTGAAAATTTGTTTTTATTGTTCCATATTTATGTCCTTCCAGCTTTTGTTTCATCTCTCGTTGAACAGACCAGATTCTGAGAACCACGTACTAAATCATTCTTATTTTATTTCTGGTTTTGATGGGAAGAGAACTGTCATTAACTCATGGATAGGGGCATCTGTTGAATGTTTAAGTGTATGAAGCACCTTCTGTGTTTTATCTTATTTCCATGTCACAACACACTGTGAAGGGGGCACTATCCTTATCTCCAGAGACGTGAAGTAACTTACCTGGGATAGGAAGTGGCAGAGCTGGGGCGTGAGCTCTGAGGGCAGAGCCCATGGTCCTTACCTCTGGCCAGGTGTGCTGGTAAATGTTTATCATCCAGCTCTCTGAAAAAATGTCCCAATTCGTAACACTTGCTGGTTTTTGTGGTATGAATGCTACTGCTGGGGCCACCCTGGCATCCCCGAACATGTGTTGGAAAGAGATCCCTGCAGTTTCTCTTGGGGCTGGTACTGGCCACTCTGGTCAGTTCCTGTACCCCATAGATGCTGGTGTTAGACTACGAGGCAAGGACGTGGTTGATGCTTAAGATACTGAGATTGTTGGATTTCAAGAGACAGAAGTCAGCTGGAGCCCGTCCACACAGAAAACATGGTTCTTATTCACAACAAAGATAGAGTAGAACCTTGTGTGTGTATGTGTGTGTGTGTGTGTGCGTGTGTGTGTGTGTGTCTGGGGATGAGGAGGAACAGATGTGCTGTGGGGCCTCAGTGGGTGTCTTTGAATCTCTGTCTACTGCAGGTCAGGTTGTCTGCATGTCTGGCTGATGGGGCGGAACACTGCTGCCCTCCCTCGTGTGCTCACTTGCTGAAGTCCTTGCTACCAGCAGACATGGAGGCCCTCTCTCATTGTCCCTCGTTGGGAAGTTATGGCCGTGTGACTTTAGGGGATCTGTTGTCTTAGGAACAGCCAATTCCACCTCTAAAATCCAGTTACACTTCAAGTCTGTCATCACGCTGTGGTCCTCTGGGCTCCTTACATCAGGTCCCTTGCCTTGCTGCTGCCATCCCTAGGGGTCGCTCTCTGCTCACTCTCGCCCTCTTGTTGGCTCTTGAACAGTACAAGCCCGTTCTCACTGCGGGCTCTATGCACCTGCTCTTCCAATGTCTGCGAAGTTTGTTCCATGGGTTTCTCGTGGCTGATGCTCTCCCTCCCTGAAGGCCTCTCTAAGCATCTACCTCACACAGTCCGCTCCACCTGTGCCTGCCTTCTTACCTGCCTCATTTTTCCTGCCAATGCTTAAACTTACATGAAATTAAATCATATACTTGACTGTCTACTCAATGCTCTCCCCACCGGCATATAGTTGATGAGTGCAAGGACTTTTTCTTGTCCACAGCTGTATCCATCTGGGACAGTGCTTGGCATGGAAGAGATAATTCACTGAATGAATTGTGGACTTATTTTGATGTTACATGTAAAGCAATCTTTAACCATTGACTTCATTTGCAATTGTGTTATTGTTTTTTCTGTACTTGAATAAAATAGTACTTTTTTAAAAATTTTTTTTTATGTATTTGAAAGGCAAAGAGAGAGAGAGACAGACAGAGACAGAGACAGAGACACACAGAGAGAGATATTCCATCTACTGATTCACTTTCCAAATGGCCCCAATAGCCAATGCTGGGCTAGGCCAAAGCCAGGAACCTGAAGCTCCTCCAGGTCTCCCACGTGGGTGCAGGGGTCCGAGAACTTAGGCCATTTTCTGCTTTCCCAGGTGCATTAGCTGGGAGATGGATTGGAAGTGGAGCAGCTGGAAGTTGAATCAATCCATATGGGATGCCAGCACTGTAGGTATGCCACAATGCTGTCCCCAAGAGTATTTCTTTTAAAATGAGATACAATTCAGGCTGTTTTCCATTTAAAAATTTATAGAACAGGAACAAATTTCGTGCATTTCATATACACAGTTTTAAGAGCATAGTGATGCCTCCTTCCCTTCCCCTCCTCCCTCCCATCTTCCCTCCTCCTTTGTTATTTTTCTTTTACTTTTTACAGTGACATACTTTCAGTTTACTTTATAATCATAAGCTTAACTCTCCACTAAATAAATAATTCAACAAGTCCTAAGTATAAAAAACAACTGTTCTTCAAGAGGATAGAGAAGGACTGTAAGCAATAATCAAATCTCAAAATTTTAATTTTGCTCATATACATTACATTTTTTCTTGTCTTTTGTAACAAAATGGGTGCAATTGAAATAAAGCAGTCCTCAAAAAACAAATGTAAGTTTTCCCTCCTCTGTGGCAATCCAGGTTTTTAGGGGTCTGATCTTCCCTAACCTATCCCTTAGTGAACTTTCTCCCAAGTCCTCCCTACAGTATTCTAAATTAGGGAGATTTCGTATTAATATAGGGAAATGCAGGGAATAGCTGCTGTTAATTATCCTTTGATGGCCAGTGTGTTTCCACGATAAGAACGAGTGTGGAACGAAGAGTTGGTGTTTTGTGTTCTGTTTATAAAGACTCAGTGCAAAGCAGAAAACATTCAGTTGTTTATAAGGGTATTTCATGGATGGTTCCTGCAAGTCATCGTTAGATAAACCGTGGTATACTAACTCAAAATTATCATCAAAATAAACAGACTCGGAAAACATCCCTCTGCCTGAGAAAAATAATTGAGGAAGTATGCAAGAAAAAAGAAAAAAACTCAGAGCAGCAAAAAAATATTATTTTCACAAGAGCAAGTATGCATTTGGCCATAGACAAACCTTTTTTTTCCCCTTTATAAAGCTGGAGAGATTTTCAGTAGAGAAAAATCACTGTATTTGCCTCCAGGCTGAGGTTTATAGTTTTCAGCAGCAACAGCTGTGTTTATGATGGCTGTGCACTGCCCTGAACAAATTTAAGATTAAGTATAGGATTGATGTTCTCAGACAATTACCAACAAAATGATCGTTTCTCTTAACTCTTTTGTTGAGCTCCAGGCCTCATGTTCTTACCTTCAAAAAAGTTATCTTAGGAGTTGTTTCCTTGAAAGATAGCAGTTATCTATTCCAGTGAACCAGAACACTTGTACCACGAATGCTGTGATTTTTGACCTCGCTAACACATTAGATTCACCTGGGTGCTTCAAAAAACCCCACCAACCCAATGCTAGAGTTCAACTCCAACCCAAATGAATTAAAAGGCAGGTTCAGAAGCCTTGATTGTTACTAGTTTTTTGATCATCTGACGTGCAACTTTAGCCTGTGACTAACGTTGAGCACTGCTACCCTCCTGCCATTGCCATTGGCGCACTTGCGTTCAGTTCTGGATGGGGACTTCTCACGGGGCAAACTGGTGCTCCCAGACCACACTGAAGACAGTCGAGTTAGCCTTTACTCCCTCCCTCTTCTGACTTTCTCAAGTCCTGTGATCCTTGCCTGTGCCCACAATTTAGCCATCAGTTAAGCCAGTTCTCATTGCTAAAAAACAATCCCACCAAGTTCTTGCCCTCTCCAAAATATACTATTACCCCTTTCCAAAAACCAAATGAAAAACCTCACCAGTCATAGAAAAGAGTTGTGGAACTGCATATAATGCAGTGGTGAATTGGAAGTAAAATTGTGGAAAGGAGGGAACAGCCCCTGGCTCCCATCAGATCACTTTTGGTACACAATACTCTACTTCAAAGGGAAGCTCTGCTGGACAGCTCTGGTAAGTTATTTAATCTCTTTTTGCCTCATTTTCATCCTCTGTAGTTTTAAAGAAGTTTATTTATTTTTAAATTTCATTTAATGTGTACAAATTTAATGTATTTCATGTGTACAGATTTAGGAACACAGTGAGTACTCATGTCGGCAGCACATATACTAAAAAAGTAGGAACATAGTGATACTTCCTTCCCTAGCCTCTCTCACATCCATGCTGCCACCCTTTCTCCTCCTTCCTCTTCTATACCCTCTTTTAATTTTTACAAAGATCTACTTTCAGTTTACTTTATACTCATAAGATTAATGCTACACTAAGAAATGAGTTCAACAAATAGTATGAAGAAAAAAAATACTGTTCCCAACAGTAGACAACTGTAAACAATAATCAAAGCTCAAAATGTCCATTTCACTTCTATACATTACATTTTTGGTACTCTACTAGTTGCCACAGACCAGGGAAAACATATGGTATTTGTCTTTTTGGGACAGGCTTATTTCACTAGGTATGATGGTTTCCAGTTGCATCCATTTTGTTGCAAAAGACAGGATTTAATTCTTTTTTACAGCTGAGTAGTATTCCATACTTTCTATATATGCCATAATTTCTTTATCTAGTCATCGTTTGATGGACATGTAGATTGATTCCACATCTTAGCTATTGTGCATTGAGCTGCAATAAACATTTGGGTATAAATAACTCTTTAATATGCTGATTTCATTTCCCTTAGGTAAATTCCCAGGAGTGGGATTGGGCCATATGGTAGATCTGTTTTCAGCTTTCTGAGGTATCTTCATGCTGTCTTCCACAATGGCTGTACTAGTTTACATTCCCACCGATAGTGGGTTAGGGAACCTTTTTCCCTACATCCTAGCCAGTATTTATTGTTTGTTGATTTCTGTATGAGAGCCATTCTAACTGCAGTGAGGTAAAACCTTATTGTGGTTTTCATTTGCATTTCCCTGATGGCTAGTGATCCTGAGCATTATTTTAAATTTTGTCTGTTGGCCATTTGGATTTCCTCTCTTGAAAAATGCCTGTTCAAGTCCTTTGCCTATTTTTCAACTGGATTGTTTTTGTTATTGTTGAGTTTCCTGAGCTCTTTATAGATCCTGGGTATTAATCCTTTATCAGTTGCATAGTTTGCATTGGATTTTCTTTTGCCTTTCCTGGGAAATTTTCTGCCTTCACATTTCTTCTTAATGATGACTGTCCTTCTGGCTTCTATATGTAGCACATCCTTAAGTATCATTTGTAGGACTGGATGAGTGGTGACAAATTCTTCCAATTTCTGTTTGTTATGGAAGGTCTTTATTTCTCCTCATTTACGAATGAGAACTTTGCAGGGTATTCTGGGTTGATCTTTTTTTTTTTTTTCTTTTAAGACTTGGACTATGTCTCTCCATTCTTGCCTAGCCTATAGGGTTTCTGATGAGAAATCAGCTGCGGGTCTAGTTTGGGATCCTCCAAAAGTAATCTGGCATTTCTCTCATGCACATTTTAGAATTTTTTCTTTATGCTGTACTATTGAAAGTTTGACTACAATGTTGAGTGCTGAAGATCTTTTCTGGTTATATCTATTAGGAGCTCTGTGTGCCTCATGTTATTGGATGTCCCTTTCTTTCTCTAAAATAGGGAAGTTTTCTTTAATTATTTCAATGAATAGGCCTTCTAATTCATGATATCTTTCCACTCCTTCAGGAATTCCTAAGATCCATATTCTGGGTCATTTGATAGTATCCTGTAAATCTCTAATACTGTTTTTAATTTTTCTAATTTCTTCATCTTTTTTTTGAGAAATTTCCAAAGATTTGTCTTCTAGCTCAAATAGTCTTTCTTCTGCTCACCAAGTCTGTTAAGGTTTCCATTGTATTTTTTGTTTGACAAACTGAATTCTCTGTTACTAATATTTCAGTTTTATTTCTCTTCAAAGTCTCAATTTCATGGGAGATTTTTTCTTCCATGTCATGTGGGGATTTCCTTAACTTGTTCATTTGCTTCTCATTGCTTCTGAGTAATCCTATGATTAAATTTTGAATTCTTTTCAGGCATTTAATCAATCTCATCTTCACATTCTAATAATGAAGTATTGTTGTGTTCTTTGGGGGAGTCATATTGTCTTCCTTATTCTTGTTTTTTGAATTTCTGCATTTATTTTTAGGCATTTGCGGAAATACTTGTTGGCTTTCTTCTCTGACAGATTTTACTTTTGAACTATTCCTCTGTGGCTTAGTGGAGTGTCTCCTCTTTCAGTGAAAACCCAGGGTTGGGACCAGCACTGTGGCATAGTGGGTAAAGCCACTGTCTGCAATGCCGGCATCCCATATGGGTGCCGGTTCGAGTCCCGGCTGCTCCACTTCCTATCCCGCTCTCTGATGTGGCCTTGGAAATCAGTAGAAGATGGCTCAAGTGCTTGGGCCCCTGCACCCATGTGGGAGACCCAGAGGAGGCTCCTGGCTCCTGGCTTGTAGTTCCTGGCTTCAGATCAGTGCAGCTCCAGCTATTGTGGCCAATTGGGCAATGAGCCAGAGGATGGAAGACCTCTCTCTGCCTCTCCTTCTCTCTCTGGGTAACTCTGACCTTCAAATAAATAAATAAATAAATCTTAAAAAAAAAAAAAAAGGAAGAAAACCCAGGGTCGTGTGCTGGGTGTGGCCAGGTAGCTCTGGTCATTACTCGACGGTGGGGCAGGTATCCAGTGTGACACCCAAGTTGGGCATGGTGAATCTGCTCTATTGTCAGCAGGGAAGAGTGTATGATAATCTCTGTTGGTGTAATCATAACTTTACTTCCTCTTTCCCAAAGCAATAAATGCCCTGGGTTAGGCCACAAGTGGGTGCAAAATTTATCCACACTGCTGCATGAACCACACAAAGTCCCTCTTCTTTCTGTAGAATTTCCACTGCAGATTTCTTTGCAACTCTCCCCTGGGAATGGAATTCCTTCATTTTTTTGTTACTATTTTCTCCCAGCCTACAGCAGTACTACCTTCTCCTATTCAGCCATCTTGGAATCCTCCATTTTCCTCATCTGTAAAATGGAGATAATATTAATACTGACCCACAAAGACACTGAGAATTAAATATGTAAAACATTTGAAGAGTGTCTCACACACAATAGGAAAACCATGCACTCTGGTAGTTATTACTATTGTTAACTAATCCTTTCAAATTCTTGAATTTATAACTGGATGAAGAAGAGTTCCACATGGAGCATGCAAATAAACTCAGAGAAGGCATCATGATTAATTTTCTTTTGCAGCTAACACACTTATAGGGTTCTGAAAAACATTTTGAGCTACAGCATTCTCATCAGCTCCTGTATCTTTAGGCAATGTTTAATTTAAGCCATCAATTAAAGATGTATGGTTTTCAAGAGCTTTTGAGGAAAATGTCCCTTTTTCACTGTATAATCATGCTTGAATTTTGAAAATTCTTGGGCAATGATGAAAATGAGGGTGAGCAACTGCATAGCTGAAGAAAAACATGCACCTGTGTACTTGATAAGATAACCCAGCATATAAATTAATGAATTTAGCAAATTTAATGATAAATTATGTTCCAGATGTCATCCTAGGAAGAGAGGATATCATAGGGAGAAGAAATGTAGGTAACAAGTGAGTTTATAGAAGGGGATTCTGTCCAATTTCTATGACAGAGAAGAGCAGTGTAATTGTGCTTTGGGTTCACTCTTCAGGGTTGGGAGTTGTCTGTCCCACTTTCCTTTAAGACTTCCAGATCAACCATAACAGGCAAGGATCCTTTGAATAGCTTAAATTCATTTATCCTCTGAAGGATCTACTTTTCTGGGAAGGCTAGCAGGTCCACTTCTCTATTCTTTTGCTGGGGATATGCTTATTGTCTAGCACAGAAGAAAGTAAGAACACAAAGAGCAAAAAGAACTAATTGAAGACAGGCTGAGGGATGACCAAATTGCATTTTGTCTTTGGAAGAAACACAGATGTTTATTCCCTGACATTTCAGGCTTTCTGTCTTCTTACTGACTGACCTGAATGCACTGAATGTAAAGTCAGGTGATTTTTCCTCTATTTTTTCCTTTTGGAAGTTTCTCAGAGAAGACTTAAAATAGTGCTTTGTTTTTATTTGTTTTAAAGTTTTGTTAAATTCTTGGAAGCTTTGGTATTGATTAAAAGTATTCTTAGATGATGCCAAATGTGGAGCCAAATTTTATACAAAAGCCCTTAAATATTGCCTAAAAATCTAAGTTTTATAAATGAAGTAACTTTTAGACAGAACATTTGTGAGATCCCTTTTAGTTTCAAAGAGCTGTAAGATGTACATCATAATCTCAGAGGTCTTAATTTTGAACTTGACTTCACAATGACCTTCCATAATTGACATTATTCCACCTTTTTCCTATAGCCTCTTTCTTGGCTAACTCACAAAAAAATGGCCTAGGTGAGTTGTAAAGCATTACAGTTTTTTTCTTTAAAAATGCAATTGTCTCAAACCTACTCTCATTTATTTGTTATATAAGATCTAATTTGCTTTTTAAAAGCATGATGTGGGGAATAGGGAGGTAGCTTACTGCTCTGGTCTGGGGGGGATAATTAAAAAATGTGGGGAGAGTGCAATCTCAGGGAAGAGTTAGGGAGAAAATGGCAGAGGAAGCTCCACCACAAATTAGAGGGGTGCTGTGGATCTATGTGGAGGATGTGGATTTGCACAACTCAGGACCTCAGTAGCCGAGAGCCTCAGCACCAGCTTTGGAGAGTGAGGTGAGACCAGACTGCAGGAGCCCAAGCTGCTGGCAATAAAGTTGTGGGAAGAGCCTGGCTGGAGTCTGGCTTGGACAATAAAACTGCCAACCTATAGGAAAAAAAGTGTGTGTGTGGGGGGGCGTGTTTCTCTCTCCCCGACCACCCAGAACTGGAACCCTGTAAGTAGCAGAGAATGGGGAGGACATGTACAACAGCTGTGCCAGCTCACTTCCACACATCCGGCAAGCAGCCCGGCAGAGACACCTGCATCTGGTGAAAGCACTGACAGGGGGCTGGGTGCTTGTGACTGTAGGAGCCTTGTGTGCTGGGACTGTGACAACACTGTGGCTGCTTGTGAGGGTGCCGGGTGAGGCTGGGTCTTTGGGCAGTCATGGTGGGCAGCTCTACACACTCAGGGCTCCCTGATTCCCTGGTGAGGGTCATTGCTGAGGTATCTGTGCTCACCCCAATGACAGCATGGATTCTTTGTGTGGTTCTTATGGAAGCATGGATGAATATTGTACTCGCTGGGGCTAAAGCCCAGGCATTGGTCTCCTTGGAGGAGAGGAGGTGGGCCTGAGACTATGCCAATAAAAATTAACAAATGTCCCCTCTGCTTAAAAAAAAGAGTGTGCCATGCACACTTTGGGAGTTTCTCGGAGCACTGAATGGAACTCCCTGGCCACAACTAGCATATGCCTCAGGGATTCACTCAAAGAGAAGACACTCCACTAATCCACAGAGGTATAGTCCAAAATTACAGGCCACCACAGGCAAAAACAAAATGAAACAAATCAAAAAATCCCCAACAAGTATCTCCACAAATACCTAAAAATAAACACAGCAATTTAAGAAACAAGAATAAGGGAGACAACAGGATGCCCTCAAAGGAACTCAACAACACTTTAATACAAAAGGTGAAAATGAAGAGATTGAAGAAATGCTGGAAACAGAATCCAAAAAATTGATCATGGGGTTACTTAGACGTAATCAGAAGCAAATCCACAAACTAAAGAAATTCATACATGACATGAAAGAAAATTTTTCTCACAAAATTGAGATATCAAAGGGAAACAAAATATTGTAAATGAAGAATTTAATAGAACAAATAGAAAATGCAGTGGGAAGCCTTAACAACAGAATTGGTGAGGCAGAAGAAAGAATATCTGAGTTAGAAGACAAATCTCTGGAAATTTTACAGGCAAGCAGAAAAAAAAAAAGAAATTAGAAAACTAAAAAACAGTGTGGGAGATGTGTGGGACACTATCAAACAATCTGACAAACGAGTCTTAGGAGTTCCTGAAGGCATGGAAAGAGAATCAATTAGAAGGCCTTTTTAGTGAAATAATTATAGAAAACTTCCCTAATTTGGAGAAATAAATGGACATCCAAGTACAGGAAGCACATAGAACTCCTAATAGACATGACCAGAAAAGATCTTCACCACAACACATTGTAGTCAAACTTTAACAGTACAACATATAGAAAAGATTCTAAAATGTACACAAGAGAAACATCAGATTACTTTAGAGAATCTCCAATTAGACTCACAGCTGAGTTCTCATCAGAAACCCTACAGGCTAGGAGAGAATGGTGAGGTATATTCCAAGTCTTAAGAGAAAAATACTATCAACCCAGAACACTGTACCCTGCAAAGCTCTCAATTATGAAAGGAGATAAAATAAGACCTTTCATAACAGAAATTTGTCACCACTCATCCAGCCTTACAAAAAATTCTAAAGGATGTGCTACACACAGAAGCACAGAAACATGGTCATCAGTGTGAAAAAAGGTGAAGGCAGAAAATCTCCTAGTAAAAGTACAAAGGAAATCCAAAGTAAAAAGCAGGAATATTTATGGAAAAATGGCAGGGACAAGTCATTACTTATCAATAGTCACCTTGAATGTAAATGGCCTCAACTCTTCAGTTAAAAGACACAGACTGGCTGAATGGAAAAAAAATCTATTTGCTATTTACAAAAAACACATCTCACCAACAAACATATAAGCAGACTGAAAGTGAAAGGATGGAAAAAGGCATTCCACACTAACAGAAACCAAAAATGAGTAGGTATAGCCATCTTAATATCAGACAAAATAGACTTTAACACAAAAACTGTTGAAAGAGACAAAGACGGGCTCTATACAATGATTAAGGGATCAATTCAACAGGAAGATGTGACTATAATGAATGTATATGCACCTAATTGCAGGGCACCTGACTATTTAAAACAAAAGCTAATGGATCTAAAGAGAGACATAGACTCTCATACAATAGTGATGGGGGACTTCAATATCTACTTTCAGCAATGGACAGATCAACCAGACAGAAAATCAACAAGGAAACAGCAGAGTTAATTGACACTATAGACCAAATGGACCCAACTGATATCTATAGAACTTTTCATCCTACAGTTGCAGAAAACATTCTTCTCACCAGTGTATGGAACTTTCACTAGGATAGACCACACCAGGCCATAAAGCAAGTCTCAGCAAATTAAGAAAAATCAAAATCATACCATTCATCTTCTCTGATCGCAATGGAATGAAGTTGGAAATCAACAACTCAACAATCTCTAGAACATATGCAAACACATGGAGACTGAACAACAGGCTCCTGAATGAACAGTGGGTCATAGAAGAAATAAAAAAAAAGTTCCTCAACAGTTGAGAATGCTTTTTTTCATACTATTTGTTGAACTCTTTACTTAGTATAGAATTAATCTATGTATAAAGGTAATTGAAAGTAGATCTTAGTAAAAAATAAGAATGGGAATTGGAGAGGGAAAAGGAAGAAGGGTGAGAGTGGGGGTGGGAGGGTGGGTACGGTGGGATGAATAACCATCACTATGTTCCTAAAGGTGTTTTTATGAAATGCGTGAAGTTTATATACCTTAAGTAAAAGGTTTCTGGGGGAAATAAAAGAGCGTGATGTGGTAACAAGTCTCACAGGTGGACCCTAGTGGAGCAACTTTGGCCTTTACACCATTGTGTAGGCTCCTACACTGACTGCAGTCTTGCCTGAGCTTCAGAATATGGTGCACGTGATTCAGAGCCAGTCTCATGACCAACCTTTAAGAAGACTGTTTTTGCTTTCTTTTCTTGGGACATCTGCTTTTGGGATCCCTAGACTGATAGGAAAGAAAATTTACTACTCTGCTGCAGAGCATATGTGACAAGGCTTTGAGATTATATGGAGAGGGGATATGGTCTAGCTGTCTTAGAGTCCTAGTTGAGCCTTCAGATGACTCCAGTCTTAGCTGACATTGTATTTCAATGACTTGAAAAATTTCATGAGGTTAGCAGAAGAACCACTTAGCAGAGCCCAGCAACCCACAGAAAAGTGACACATTAAAATGGCTCTTGTTTAAGTCTCTAAGTTTTGAGGCAGTTAGTTACACAGCAACAGATAATGACATATATAACAAACCTGCTAGCCATAAGACTCTAAATGATGTAATATCTTTTTACAAAAGAGAATTGCTTTCCTCACAATAATTCATATATTAACTTGAAGAGTTTGACAGAAAGGTAATATTTTAATGCATTCAGTATTTAGTGAATGACATTCTTATTCTTGATCAAAAAACTCATCAAAAAGTGGAATTCTCTCCGTCCTTGTCCTCACTAATGCTTGTGGTTTCTTCTCATCTGTCCCCATCTCATCTGAGTCACAGCTAGAACTATCCCAGAAAAGCTGTCCCCGGGCCTCTTGTTCACGAATCCATTTTTCCATTTTGCCAATTTTCCGGGTACGATAGTCATTTCTTGCTTGATGCTTCAAAAATTCTGCATTTTCTATGTTTCCTACAAAAAGTTTAAAGTTCATTTAATTTACTTTTCCTTAACAATGATTTATTTGTTATTACATGTTTAGACTTCATGAACATAAAACAATCTGCTTATATACTAATACATAGGTATTATTCATATACACTATATATACTTATATATACTTTATGTATTTATATTTATAGATACAGTTGTAATTTGTGACTCTGTAAGCCTTAAAAAATTTTAGCTGTTATTTATAATTTTTTTGAATCTTCTGAAAGTCACAAGAATGGTCCAATACATATCTTTATAATCACAACCCATTGACAATGTTTTGATACAGTATCACTTTCACCATATATCTATGTCTATCTATCATCATCTCTATGTATCTCTATCATCTCTATTACCCCTATATCATCAGCTGTTCATATCCAATGTTTTGCTACAGTATCACTTTTATCATATATCTCTGTCTATTTCTATCTCTGTTATCATCTCTATGTATCTCCATCTTCATCTCCATATCTCTTTCTCTCTATATCATCTCTATCATCCCTATATCATCAGCTGTCCATATCTGTGGGCTCTACTTCCATGGATTCAACCAGCTATAGATTGAAAATATTTTTTAAAAAGATTACCTCTGTTCTAAAAATTTACAGACTTTCTTTTCTTGTCATTATTCTCTAAATAATAAAGTATAACAACTATTTTAATAACATTTACATTGTATAGGGTATTATAAATAACCTAGGGAAGATATAAAATATGCAGGATGGTATACATAGGTTATATGCCAATACTACATTTGTTTTTTTTTCCCTCAAAGAAATCTTTTATTTAATGAGTATAAATTTCATAAGTACAACTTTAGGAATATAGTAATTCTTCCCACCATATCCGCCCTCCCACCCCACCACTCATCCCTCTCACATTCCCAGTCCCATTCTCCATTAAGATTCATTTTCAATTAACTTTATATACAGAAGACCAACTCTAGAGTAAGTAAAGATTTCAACAATTTGCACGTGCACACACACACACACAAGTTTTACGGTTAATTCTCATAATACAATTCGTTGAGGACAGAAGTCTTGCATGGAAAGTTAGTGCAGAGTGACATCTGTTGTTAATTTAACAATTAACACTCTTATGTATGATGTCAGTGATCACCTGAGGCTCTTGACATGAGCATCCAAGGCTATGGAAGCCTTTTGAGTCCACAATCTCCATCAGTATTTAGACAGGGCCATAAGCAAAGTGGGAGTTTCTCTTCCCTTCAGAGAAAAGTACATCCTTCTTTAATGGCTCCTTCTTTCCACTGTGGTCTCACAGAGATCCTTCATGTAGGACTTTTTTTTTTTTTTGCCACAATGTCTTGGCTTTTCATGCCTAAAATGCTCTCATGGGCTTTTCAGCCAGACCAGAATGCCTTAAGGGCTGATTCTGAGGTCAGAGTGCCATTTAAAGCAGTTGTCATTCTATGAGTCCGCTGACTACACTGTTTCATATAATAGACTTGAGCATCCTGATTTGGTATCTGTGAGAGATATGGAACCAATTTCCCATAGATACCAAGGGAAGGAGTTATATGCTTTTTAGATGAGCATTTGAATTAGTTGTGGAGTCATTTCCCCCATAACTACATTACCACAAGTTTCTTAAGAACAAGGGTATTTCTGCCTATATAAAAGCCACACAATTATTACCTTTAGGAAATTTAACACTGGCATAATGGTATTTACCGATATATGGTCCATATTCAAGTATCTGTAGGTTTTCTAGTAATGTCCCAACAGCTTTTTGTTTGCTTGTTTGTCTTTTATCTTTTAGGTCTGAAATCCAATCTAGGATCATGTATTACATTTTATTTTCTTTTACTTTCTTTCTTTCCTTTTTTTTTTTTTGACAGGCAGAGTTAGACAGTGAGGCAGAGAGACAGAAAGGTCTTCCTTCCATTGGTTCACTGCCCGAATGGCCACTAAGGTTGGTGCTGCACCAGTCCAAAGCCAGGAGCCAGGTGCTTCCTCCTGGTCTCCCATGCAGGTGCAGGGCCCAAGCACTCGGGCCATCCTCCACTGCCTTTCCGGGCCACAGCAGAGAGTTGGACTGGAAGAGGAGCAACCGGGACAGAATCTGGCGCCCCAACCAGGACTAGAACCCGGGGTGCCGGTGCTGCAGGCGGAGGATTAGCCTAGTGAGCCACGGCTCTGGTCCTAATTTTCTTCTCAGTCATATTTCATTCAAGAATACCCTCCTATGGTTTTCTTTTTTTCTCTCACCCTTTCTCACTCTCACTCTGTTGTTCCATCCTTCTCCTCTCCCTCTTCTACTTTTGTTACCTTACAACAATTTGTGGCCTTTGTTTTTTCTAACATTGACATTTTAAATAATACAGGTTTGGGCTAGTCTGATTGTTTCCTTATGATTAAGGTTAACTATTTGGGCAAGAACATTACACAGGTACCTAGTGCTCTTAATTGAACATCTACTACATGCTAGGTACACAATACACACTTAACTTTCATGTCAGTTCTGATTCATATCAGACCTGTTTGTGCAGGCTTTTGGGAACAGATACAACTGGGGAGCTCAATGAGTCAGGTGTTCCATTTCACTTTATATTTTTATTACAAGAGATTTAATTCACTTCTGGTATGGAATTTGATGTATGTGTGTTTCTGTTTGCTTTAGCTTTTTTATTTAAGCAGCACCCAGTATCCTTTCAAAATGCATTCCAGAGGACTTGTGTAGGAAAGTCTGCCTTTCAGGCCAGCATTTTGGCATGGTAGGTAAAGTCTGGCTTTCAATAAAACAAAATCTTCTCAATCACCTTTTGCCTAGCGCAATAATCCTATTTTAAGCCCAGAGCTTTCCCCCAGTGCGGTAGAAGCAGCCATAACTTTTGGCATGTCATTTTAATGAGAACCATTTATTAGATCTTTGTCATATTTTATTTAAGCCCTTGATATCTGAAGTTGGATAAGATTGTGTAAGAAAATAAAGCATTTCTTTCTTTCCCTACTCTGTTGGGATATGATCTATGTACAGAAAACTGTGCATATTGAATGGGTGCAGTCTGAAGGGTTGAAAAATAAGTATTTCAGTGGAATGGTTCGTGCCTGCTAATTTGCTAGTTTTCCTTTCTGCCTCAATGAGAGGCTGCTATGTTCTCCCCTTGAATACCATTATAATTATTGTGTTACAGTGCCTATTTACAAAGTGCTTAAAGATAACTACAGTTAATTAAATCTGCAACACTGCTCTCTTAAGCTATAGATGTTTTTGTAAAAACTGGACACCTCTACTTTGATGTCTATCTGTCAGAGTCGACCTCTCTTTCCCTGGCAAACCTGCTTCTGTGTCTGGCTCCCCTAATGCGGCCAGTGGTACTACCTTTGCTCCGCTGTCTGCCTCATTCTTCAGGAGGAATGCAGGAATCCAACTGGGCTTCCTAATTTCTCCATCTGCCCACATGGAATCTGTGGGGAGCAACCCGGACTGGACTGAGTTACTGGAATTAAGACTTATTCTATGCATCTGCTCTCCCACAATATGGCGCTGGGAGAGGAGAAAACAGCTTCTACGCAGCTGCCTCTTGCCAACTTGAGTGATGACCTCCAGGAGCTGATCCTGCTCCTGATTGGAGGAGAGCAGCGTACTCGGCGTGTGGGCAGCCGAGTTGGGATTGGCGGAGGAGGACTATAAAGGAGGAGAGAGACAACATGCACCAGGAACATCTAAGGGGAACACCTGTGCAGCCCCCGAGAGAGCCGGCCGGCGGTGTGCTGCTCCCCCGCGGAAGTGGGGAATGTGGCAGGGGGAACCGCCCTTCCACGGAGGTGGAAGGGTCGGTAGCCAACCCGGGAAGAACCAGCAGCAAACCCGGGAAGGGCTGAGCAGACAAAAGAACAGCGCAGGGTCCTGTGTCGTTCCTCCACGAAGACGGGGAGCGACAGAATCCATCACCAGGTTTCACCAATTCTGCCTCCTGAATGTCTCGTATCTGGTTCCTTCTCTCCATGCACAGTTTTGCTCTACTGTCCTGGTTCAAACATTATCTTTCACCTGCACCATTACTATGTCCTTCTTCCTGGACTCCCCACATCCTCTTGCTATCCCTGCCAACTGTTCTGCACAGTGTAGAGAGAGTGGCATTCAAACATGTACAGCTGATTGTGCCATTTCCCTGCCCTGTCAATGGCTTTGCATTGATCTTAGGAAAGAATTCAAAATCCTTGACAAGACTTGTAAGGCCCTGTGCGAGGCAGCCTCTCCCTGTGTCTTCAGAACCATCTCTAGTCACTCTCTGCATCTTTCCTCTCAACTCAGCTCCAGGATGCACTGTGTTCTTGCCACTGCAGGGCTTTTGCACATGTTGGTGTCAGTCGTGGTTCTGAATGTTTCTGCACCCCTGGTCCTCAAACTCACATGCATTCCTGCTTCCTTCCTTCAGTTACTTCATGTCTCTGCTGAAATGTCACTTCTTCATGGAAACTTTTCCTGATCCTGTGACTATCATGCCTGCCAGTCATACTGCTACTGAACATCTTCTTGTTCCTCTTCTGTATCATGATATAAGCTGTAGAGGCAGGAATCATGTCTACCTGGTTCATTACCATAGGATGAAACTATCACAACACCTGCTCCCTGATCTATGCCCAGCAAGTATTTGTTGAATGAATACATGAATAGATGAATGAACAAATGAATGGATCAGAGAATTTTGGGAGGTAGGAGGTATTGGTAACTAAGACTTGGGAAAGGCTTTGTTTATTGGGCCTGGGAGTGTCAATCATCTCTGCTATGCAAATGAGCCAAGCACTACCAGAGACATCCCACAGACTGGGAACAGGGATTTTCTAGAACATTTAACTACAGGCAGTAGCCTTGAAAGAGGAAGAGAATGTTTGTTGGTGATGAGATCTAATGCATTATTAATGATAGCTTAAGTCCCTCAACACTCTTGGCATTATAATTCAGGCCTAAAGTTAGCATGCATGGCAAAACTGATGAGTTCAGCTTTGAAA